CTCTGCATAGATTAGGGCATAGTCATGTTGCATGTGGGAGAAAGAGACTGCATTCTTGACATGAATGCACAGGGAAGCTTTAAAGGACCCTGACATTAAATATAGTAAATAAATAAATAAATAAATAAATAAAGCTTTAGCTTTTATAAAATACACACATATTTTTATCCCCAAGGTTATAATGGTGGTCTGAAAAAGGCATCTATAAATAAGTCAGCAATTATGGCCAGAAGAAAAATAACCTGGTCTTAGACTTTTATTTTTATATGGAAAAGTTGTAAAGATTTAAGCAACTAAGTTTCCCCACAAAGAAAAAACAAATTTACCATCTCCTTTATGAGCTTCCACATAAAACCATTGTTTGCTGGCTCAAAGCAAGTCTGACAATAAAATACTAGCTTAAAACATGTTTTGTATATTTAACAATATCTCCTGGAAAATTTGTCATATTAAGCGGATTTAATGCATTGTTTTTAATAACTATCATATTCCATAGTGTGGACATTCCTTAGCTCATTCCCCTATGGACAGGTATTAAGGTCATCTCTAGCATTTTCCCTCTGTAAATATGCTGCGGTAAACATTTTCATATGTAGATCATGTATTGATGCTTTAGAATGCAGTACTTTTAAAAGTTGAATTATATTTTGGGGCGCCTGGGTGGCTTAGTCGGTTAAGCGTCCGACTTTCGCTTGGGTCATGATCTCGCGGTTCGTGGGTTCGAGCCCCGCGTCAGGCTCTGTGCTGACTGCCAGCTCGGAGCCTGGAGCCTGTTTCAGAGTCTGTGTCTCCCTCTCTCTCTGACCCTCCCCTGCTCACACTGTCTCTCTCTCTCTCTCCTAGAAATAAATAAAAATATTTAAAAAAAAAAAAAAGTTGAATTATATTTTACTTACCAACTAAACATACTGTATGTATCCCTTCTTAGATTCATAGAGCCTTATGGGGTCCTTAGTTTATTTTGCTTTACTATAACTAAATTCACATGTACAAACACATACAGACAAGCATACGCATGTGTGTAGAAAGTCTTTGTGGTCCTCGTGACGTGTCCCCAGCCTGCACGCCTCACCTCCACACACACTACCGCCACTATGAGGTCTTCCCTGCCTGCCGTCCACACGCCTGTGTCTTTGCAGTGTCTCTCTCAGTGCTTCCCTTGGTAAAACTCGGTTTGAGCCCTCTGCAAACTCATCTCCTCCTGAAAGCTTTTCCTGGGCCTCGCTGACCTTTCAGGCAGGAAGTTCCCTCCCACTCTGTGACCCCAAAGCAATTTCTTCCTCTCTTTGCATAGCCTTTTTCTCAGCCTGCCTGTGTGCAAGTCGGCACTGCATACACCTGTGTCCTCTAGTAGACTTCGAGTCTCTTGGTGGCAGACACCATCTTGGCCACATGCGACACCCGCGTTTAGGAAAAGCTCAAAGAAATATTTGTTGGGCATGGGTGGTTTGTCTAAAAACTAAAAAGCAGTCAGAGCTCAATATTTGCCTTTCAAGCCCTACTCTAGGTTGTAGCAAACTGCAGTTATTAAGGCAATTTTGAGAAAATAGTCATGTAAGTCTATCACATGTTATATGTATATTTTTGGCTTTAGGAGCCTTTTCCTTTACTGCTAGAACAGGAGCCAGCAAACTTTTCCTCTAAAGTAAGTATGTTGGGCTCTGGGAGCCTTAAGGTCTCTGCTACAGTTTCTCAGCTTGACAACTGGACTGTTGTGTGAAAGCAGCCATGGACAGTAAGTGGCAAATGGGCATGGCAGAGTTCTAAAATTTCATTCACAGAAACAAGCAATGGGCAAGACTTGACTCCTGGACTGTCTTTTGCAACTCCTGTTCTGGAAGGCATCTGGCTACATTTAGACGACTAACCTGACTTACATCCAAATTCTGATTTTTCTGCTTTGGCTCTTCTACTTACTGTGTGACTTTGGGCCAACGACTAAACCTCTCTGTGTTTTTCAACACATGGGATTAATATCACCTACCTTCACGTTAGGCATCTAGTAGAGGGCCTAGCATTTACTGAACCCAGAAACAGCCGCTAACTTGCCTTATTTAATGTAGAGGAAGCATAGAAAGAGGGTCAGAGAGCATGCGGCCCCTTTTTGCGCGTGGAAGTAGCAAAATCCGAGGGACAAGGCAAGGGGAAAACCGACAGGTAGCAGAGCCTATTGGGTAACAGGGGCAGGTCTCACCAACAGAAGCAGGAACCCTCTCAGTCATGTGCCCTCCTCTGCAGAGTGACCAGGGACACACAGACAGACAGGTAGCCTGGCACTTGCTGCTCCAAGAGCAATATCACTAATAAAAAATTCTGAAGATTGCTTGGAGCGCCTGGAACTATGATGACTATATAGAAGGTATAGGCCAAGCTTCAAGCAGAATTATTGGGGAAATAGTAATACTTGGAGATGTTAATGGTGTTACCTTTTTAGCTAAAATACAAATAATTACTCTTTGGCGCATTGCTGGCCTCATCATCTGCAAACATTTCTACTGTCTGTATGCGATTAGATTCTTTCAAGATGAGGCACTCCCATCTCTTTTCCCTCTGCCGTCAAGGTGAAGTCCAGACTTGAGAACAGCCTGCAGGGCTCTCCATACTTGGGTTCTAGCTTGTTCTTTTAGATCTTTATGCAGGTTCTTTAGCCAAATAGGTTGATTAGTTTCTTCGTGTCCCACAAACACCCCCCCCGCCCCCATTTTGCTTATGCTCGGTCTGTTGCAGTTTCTGCTTTTCTCCCACCCTTATTTTCTAGAGCTTTACAAGGCCATTGGTCATGCACATCTCACTTCTGTCAGGACCCGACCCAGCTGCATCCTTCGTAGATCCCCCCACTAGTGTAGTGCCAGATCATCTCTCCCTCCAGCTGCCAGAAGCATTATTGATACTCCCTTTTTCAGCTCTGTCTGTGACATCTCCTTCTTGATGCCTTCTGTAAATCCCCAGTAAACATTGGACAGTGATGCACAGAGGAAGGGGAAGCCTGGATTTGGCGTCTACAGACTTGAGTTTATGTTCTGGCTTCACCATTGACTCACTGTGTGCCCAAAATGGGCAAGTAGTTTAATATCTCTGAGCCTCAGACCCTTTATTTACAGCTGGAATCCTATACCCTCCCTTAATAGAGTTTGCACGAGTGAAATGAGGTTGAACAAAGTGAAGAGTGGAGGAATCCTTAGAAGGTACCTGCCTCCCTCAGGAAATGTTACTAAGCGTGAACCAATTACAAGGTTTGGCTTGGTGTAGCTCCCTAGCGATGGAATAGTTTTGAAAGCGAGATTGTACTGAAATACATTAGTGGTAAATGACATTGCCTGGAATTTTTTAAAAACTACTCAGTAGTTTTATTTGATTTATTTTTAAATTGCTTTTTAAAGTCCCCATCAAAGCTATATAAGGCATACTAGCTTCTATTTTTCTAAATTTTAAGATAGAATCAAGATCTTCATCAGTATCTATTGTAGAGGGATGCTTTAAGATGGCTAGAAAATCAGCTCAGTCTCATCAAATTTGTCAAGTTTGGGGGAATATACCCAAACAGATATTTGCCAAAATATATAAACAGAGCTAAAATTATCCTTTTCCCCCATCTTATTCTTTGCAAAATGACTACACCATGCTACATAGAGCATGTGTTGTGCCCCTGGCATCCCACCCTGACCAGCTCTCTCCACCAGATGCTCGCTGCCTCAGTTTAAGACCTCTTTCTATTGCTAATATCCTTTCCTCCAAGGATGTAAATAAATCCCGATGATCTGTATATATCCAGAATATAATGAAAATTAAGCATATTGAATTAATGAAAATATTCCTCACGTTTTTATGCATGTCCCTGCTGCCTAAATGTTTGTAGACTATTCTGTAATATATTATTTCACCAATTGTTCAGAACAAACACCGTCGGGCAAGTCCAGTCTCCATTTTGCACTTTGGGAAGCTGAGAGCTGTAGATTTGAAAATGAACTCTGACTCACCAACCTTGAGCCTGGCCAGAGATTTTCTGCACTGAGATTACCAGACCTCCTTTTAAAGTCCACAGATGGGGTTTCAAAAGAAATTCTTTCTCAGTTTCTTGCTTTTTTGGTTAAAAAAGTTCTTAATGGTAAAAAAAGATCATCTAAGTGATGTGTTAGCTAAAGTTACCTCCAATTATGTACCAGTTGCTTAGGTTTCTGTGTAAGGTTTCGGGAACTGAATCGGTGTCTCATGTAAATCAGAAACTAAAGAAATACTCGAGAGCTTATCAGTGAAGATAAAATGAGAGAGCTGCTGTACAAGTAATAAGAAAATACGTTTGCAAAGCAAGCTATTATAATTTTCATTAGAATAACAAATATGTACACATACATTAATCAACTATCTCAGGGTCTCTCTATTTAAAATTAATTTACTAGGTAATTAGCAAAGCTGGAAAAAGTTTCATTTAAGAAACTTCCATGTTCATTACAAACCGTGAGCCTCAAGTTTTAATAAAGTTGTATGATGGAAGAGTTACAAAATTAGTCCTTACTGCATACCGGAGTATTTTAAAAGTTAATTAATTCTCTGACATTCAACTGCATAGCTAAATTACTTTATGCAGTTGTTTTAGTATAATGTCTATAATCTTCTGATCAAAATAAAAGCTAAAATCATAAGTAGCAATTATTATTTACCCACTTACTACCACATGTCCCCTACCATCCCTGCTACTTCCTCCTCAGAGTCTGAAGAGATTATTCTCAAGAGAGTTTTGGAAACTTTTTACTGTAACACAGTGAATGGGGAGTTGGAGAAGGGAGAGCTTTCAAGTTGCAGGCTTCAAAGTTAGCTTCAGACTGAAAGTATATTTTAAAAATCTTAAATGGAAGAAGAATTCTAATAAGGCTGTGTGGCAAAATACCTGCTAATCCACTATTGTTTACCTTGTGGTTTCTATTTAAGTTTGTGCTGCTGTCATGATTTATTCCTACCTCACAGGATAATGAATCTAGATTTTATTTCTGTTCTCTGCCCAGACTTGTACAGCAGGCAAAGTGTTGGAAAATCAAAGGAAGAGAAGATATTGACTTGGATAATCTCTTCAGAGGTAAAAACGAAAACACTAGCGAAAACACAGCCTATGCTTTTTTGTGTGAAGTATGTCTTAATTTGTTTCCTGGGTTGGTTTTATCACTTCAGGAGGGGACAGTGGAAAGAACTTGAAGAGGGTAGGAAAGATCTGTGTTCTAGTCCCAACCCTGTGGTCAAGCAGGTTCCACTGTGTCTACTCCCTGACCTTGATTCCCTCATTTTTAAAGTGAAAGGACCAGACTATAATTTCTGTGATCCTCACTCCTGATAGGACAAACCAGAACTTATCAAACTAGGGTCTGTGTCTGCAATAGACTCTCTCCGCCATCTGCAGAGGGCATGGAGGAGGGGAACCCGGAGTGTCTTGTGACATTTGTGTATGGTGAGGGACTGGAAAATGTACCTCAGATGTAAGACAGGCAAGAAGGTTATTGGGGGTAAAATTTAACTATTAAAAGCTGGAGGATTATTAGAGTGTAAGAAAAAGAATTGCCTGTCTTCATTTAATTCTCTTTCTTTCTGATTAAGATTCACTCTAGATAAAATTTCACCTATAATTTTGAGGTTATATTGTAGCAACCTAAGGAATAAGTTTCCCCTTGATTATGTTACTTTAGTGCAATCATTTTTATTTGATCAGATGAAAATATTGGTGATTTGTAACCAGCGTCCTCATGTCTTCAGCCATAGTAATTCTTCTGTATGTTTGTATCTTGAGAACATGGTAGGAGATCTGTTCCTCTTCCAGGGGAAAAGAAAATTAGTGAGTTTTCTGCTGACTTGGCCAAAAGTGCACTAAATTCGCACCATTTGGTAGCACTGCGCTCATCTCCAATACAACTACCCATTAGACTTTTCTTAAGAGGAAAAAAAAAGAGTGTGCTAGGAGGCCATCGAACAAGAGAGTTATGACATCGATGAGCAAAGCTGACCTACTCGCATCAGTCAGGGACCACGCTCAGTTGTGGTTGGAATGACTCCTGATTTCATCTCAGCCAAAGAGAGAGAAAGGATCTTTTCCTCAGAAAATGAGGGCAGCTAACTTACTTTGATTTCGTTGTGCATCCACACATTTTCTCAAGCCAGAGGAATTTCTGTGTAATATAATCAGGCCTGAACACTGCTTTAAATAAAAGAAATGACTGATATTTTTTAGAAACTGCTCCGTACAAATGTTCTAATCCACTTTACCATGCCTCCATTCTGTAAACAACATGTGTTTTGGAACCGTACAAGGAGCCCTAAAAAAGTGTCAGTGTTTTAATTCATATTTTGACACTTTTGAAAATATCTCCACAGAGTAATTATGTATATGTTCCTGTTAAAACAGATACACAGTCAATTTTGTAATTCACATAGTAGAAGTAGTAATGAGGATCATCCTTATAAAAATAGAAAAGATCACTAGCAAAATGCATTTGCATAATGTGAAAGATGAAGTCTCTTCTAACTTGTTCAATATGTACTTATTCTTCTCTGCATCACTTTTAAAAGGTTTATGTTGTTGACCTTAAAAATAAAACCGCCAGTTATTTTACCAGTAAAATGAGTGTATTTGGGAAAAGCAAAGAATTGCAATTAAGGACAAGCAATCTATGGCAAAAGTACAAGCAAATCTGGAGGAAAAAGGAAATGGTACTTTATAGAGAAAAAGAAGAAGTTGCTCTGAATGAAAGTCATTGGAGGAAAGGGAGAGTTCAGGGTGTGACCGTGACATTAAATGATCATTTAATATTTTCCTTTTCACTTTCTTCAGCCTATAAGTCTCAGCATAAATTCCAAGTTCCTTTGGGTTATTCTGTTGTCCTGGGTATATATCTGAATAAACCCCTTAGGTCATCAGGAGTATTTTTTTTAAAGAAAATGAGCTAAATTTGTTCTCCATTTCTCCTATGAGGGGAAATAGTACGCTTTTAATATTTGAAGATTATGTGTACATGTGTACATACAGCTTGTGTTTTTCATATCTTGGGCAGTTTTCAACTTTTACTTGGAAACATCTTTGTTTTCTAAATCATTTTATTCGCAATAGATATTCTTGACAGATACATAATAAAAAAATCTCCCCATAATTTTTGAGAATACTTCTTAAAGATACAATATGCCTTCCTTTACCATAATTATGTATAAAGGTAACATGGGATGATAGAACATTTTAATTAGTTATATAAATTTGTTGAGGAAAGGATGATGATCTAAAAGGATGTCTGGTAGTAAACTTGATGGAAGTTAGAATCTGTCTTACTACTCTACAGGTGTACAGGTAAACTTACGGGATGTTACACCTAAGACATGGTGAATGGTAGTTCTTTTTTCTCTCTTTTGTTAAGTAAAGTCATGCGTGAAAATACTATTGACATATCTGCTACACATCCCTTCTCTTGAATTGAGTTGGGCGTCTACGTGGTGATCTTTTAGGTTTTTACCTTTGCTCAGTGAATGCTCCACAGAGAACCGCACAATATCGGCTCCTTTGAATACAAATTGAATGAACGTTAATTAAAGCACATTTCCATTACGTATAAAGGACCCACTCACCTAAGTGATCTGCCCTTGTGCCCTTTAGAGAGCCCCAGAACCAGAACTATTGAAACTCAGCTACTGGGTACCATAGACACATGTATGTCATTGTCAGGGCCACCATGCTGCACTACCCCAGAGGACGTTTTTGCTACTGTGGAATATTCAGCCAGGAAAGTTTTATTTTAACTATTTACTACTTTGGGTCTCAAATGTGTAACTAATGTTCACTTAAAAAAAAAAAAAAACCAGGGGCGCCTGGGTGGCTCAGTTGGTTAAGCGTCCAACTTTGGCTCAGGTCATCATCTCATAGTCCATGGGTTCGAGCCACACATCGGGCTCTGTGCTGACACCTCAGATCCTGGAGCCTGCTTCTGATTGTGTCTCCCTCTCTCCCTGCTCCTTCCCTGCTTGTGCTCTTTCTCTCAAAAATAAACATTAAAAAACAATTTTAAAGAAAAATCCAAAAATTTCATAAAGCAAAAAATATAAGAGATAAGCATGAAAAAGCTAAACATTGTTTAAAAAATCCCTCACAGATCTATGTTGGATATAATAATTCACCTTTTCACTTTATTACCGATACAGAATGTTATTTGGTGAACAACAATTGACTTTTTTTTTTACCTCCAGTTGCTAACATATCATGGCTACCTTTCTAAGTCAGTGTGTGTAGACCTGCTAAGTTCTTCTTTTTGTTTATTTCTTAAGTAATAATTTTAGACAAGTACAAGAAATTATACTCATTCAGTCACATTTGGGTCAAGAAATAGAATCAGAATGGAAGTCCACATCTCGCTATCCAATTACCACTTCCTGCCAGGGCCCTGACTCACTCTTCTGATTTCTGTCACTGTGGTTGCTTTGACTCTGTTTTGGTCATTTTATAATTGAAATCACACAGTATGTATTCTTTTATGTCTGCCTGAGTCTTTTTTGCTAACGTTATGTTTGTGAGATCCATTCAAATCCTCTTTGCCTGTTTGCTTCTTCTCGATACTGGATATTATTCATTTTCATGAAGATGCCACAATTTATCTGTCCATTTTAATGTTGGTTTGCTTTCAGTTTCGACCTCTCAGCAGTGGTGCTTCTCGGAACATTCTTGTATGTGATTTGATGCACATGTGTACACTTTTCTGTAGTGTACATACTGAAGGGTGAAATTCTGGGTAATTGAATGGGTTTGCCTTTAGGAGCTAGTGTCAAATAGTTTTACAAAGTGGTTGGACCAGTACATTCTTCCCAGCACAGTTTGGAAATTGCAAGTACTCCACGTCCTTGCCAGCAGTCAGTACTTATCAGTCTCTAACTTTAGCCATTTATTTGGATGTGTAGTGGTATTTAATTATGCTTTTAATTTTGGATCTCCCTGAGGCCTGATGAACTTGAACACTTTTTCATGTTTATTGGCTATTTGAATATCTACTTTTGTGAAATATCTTTCACATTTGTCTCTTAGATTATATGTCTCTTATTGATATATAGGAATTCTTTAGGTCTGTGAATAAGTCCATTGTTGGATAGATACATTGCAGATATCTTCTCCAGTCTATGATTTGCCGTTTCACTCTCTTAATGGCACCTTGTGATAAATAGAAATTCCAGAATTTAATAGAGTCCATTAATCCCTTCCATTTTGTTTAGCTCTTCTAGTGCTCTGTTTAAAGAATTTTGCCTATTACATTTTCATGAAGCTATTCTGCTGTTTTTTTATTCTAGAATCTTTATTGTTTCATCTTTCAGATTATAAATCTGCATTTAGATCTAAAATGTACCTGGAGCTGATTTTTTTACACATGGCATAACATAGGAGCCAATATTCACTTTTTATATGAATATTCAGTTGACCCAGCACCATTTAATAAAAAGACCTTCCTCTCTCTTATTGCTCTTCATAAGTTAGGTGACCATGTACGTATGGGTCCATTTCTGGACTGTGTTCTGCTCCTTGGGCTTGTCTATTCTCATGCCAGTCCCATACTAGTTTAATTATTATACCTTTTTAAATCTATATAATAAATCCTGATAGCTAAAAGTGCCACATCTCCGATTTCTTTTTCTTTGAGATTGCCTGGCTATTCTTGTTCCTCTGCATATCTAAAGAGCTTGTCTTTGTACATACACACACACACACACACAAACCAAACAACATACTCTGATTTTTACTGGAGTTGCAGTGAATCTATAGATCAATTTCAGGTGAATTGGCATTCTCTAATTCATGAGCATGGTATATGCTTCCATTTAATTAGGCATTCTTTGATAATGTTAGTCAATTTCTCAGAGCCAAGACCTCCAGTGTAATGTGGAGTAGATATGTGATAGCAAGGCATCTTGTCTCATTTCCAGCCTCAGGAAGAAAGCATTCAGAAGTTTGTTGTACAGCATAATGTTTGCTGTAGTTTTGTAGTGCCCTTTAATAGATTGAGAAAACTGCTTCCTTTTTTAGCTTGTGTTTTTATTTTTATGAAGAGGTATTGAATTTTATCAAAT